CAACGTTCAGAATAAATCGGTGAAATCCATTCCGGGTGCATCGGAAGGAAAGGTGTTCAGAGTCTCAAGTCGTGCGCCAGAGAAGGGCCCTTGTTCTATGTGGAAGCAGTGGTCTCTCTACAGAGGTCCAACCTGTCCCCTGCTTAGTCAGAGCTAGAGCCAGGAGGTAAATGGAACCCCTGGCGTCCCGCCCAGAAACTGGCAACCAATGATGTCACTGGAACTTGGCGGGACACCGATCAGAGCATCCCAGGCGGCTAAGACCTGAGCGGGGAGATGGGTGAGGGCCATAGATATCTTCCTGCCCGGCTCTTAGCAACCTGGGCGCCTTGGCCGGCGTCCCATCCAGCTCTTGGCTATGAGTGATGTCACTGGTTGCTAGGAGACAGGCGGGATACTCTGGCATACACCCCATCAGGCTCTTAGATGTGTACGACAATTACATATCCCCCTACCCAGCTCCTAGCAACCTGGGACGCTCTGGCCGGCGCCCTGTCTGGCACCTGGCAACCAGTGATGTCTCCTGGCAACCAGGGATGCCAGCCAGAGCATCCCTGGTTGCTAAGAGCCGGGCAGCGAGATGTGTATGGGAGATGGGTGGGGAGAGAAAAGCAGTCGGCTGTTTCCGTGGGTCGGTAAACTTTCATTGACCCTCAAGTAGGGCCATACCCTGGATACGCCATTGCCTGGAGCTCTCCAATCAGCAAAGCTCCCTTTTGATTGGAGAGCTGTGGTTCTGGCTGAGCCCGAAAACTTTGCAGAGAGACCACTGCTTCCACACAGAGAGCAAAGGTCCTTCTCCCCTTGCATGCGCCTGCAATGGATTCGACCTGCAAGTTCATTTGGAGGTTTCATCTGTCAGAACGACTGTGATGGGGATCTATCGGAACTGGAGCAGCTGCGCACGGCAGCCAATCAGCTCCTTCCTTTCATTGTCAAAGCTTCACTCAACAAACTGAAGATGGAAGCTGATTGGTCACTTTGCAGAGCTCTGCTCCATAAATTTGTGTGGTACTGGACAGGAAATGAGAGAGAGAGACATTAGAGTATCAGCTCCACAGCGATAAAACGGGAACCTGTACACTGCTACATCGTATGCAGGCGCTATATAAATATGGGAAATGTAAAAAGACATTG